ACCCCAGTTAAGAATCACTGGGATACAGTATAAATAAGGGCATAGTGTATACTTGACTGGAGAGTGGCCTCTTGAAGACTCTGTGCCATCAGGGTCTGGCCTGATCAGTTGTGTGGCTTCTCAGAATAACTGCTGAGTTTCAAAAAGTTACAGTTCTGAAATGAAGAATAACTTGTCAGCCTTAAACATTTCCCTGTTTCAGTCAAGTCAAGAAAATGTTATGAGGTGGTTTCTCTTAATGGTTTGGTTCCCACTAGAATGGGAGATTTCAAATCGGCAGAATATAAGTAGTTCAGGTTTTTAATTGATCAATAAAGCCAGGTGTAACATTTACTTTTGAAAATAGGGTCACTGGAGCTGTAGGAGTGATCTGGAACTTCAGTTTTAAAACTTTGTTGAAAGGCAAAGTTTGACATATATAGAGAACTATCCTGATTTGTTTGGCATAAAACCCTATTTTTTCTTCAGTGCTTTTATATTCTCTTCTATTTTTATTTTAATGCATGAATGCTTTTATAGTAGTTTAGGGAGCCCTGCTGCTAACAAGCCCAGCTCCTTAATTGAAAAGACTGCTATAACTTCATTGGGAGTTATGCTCAATTCATGTTTGCAGAATTCTCTTTCATTAGTCTGATCACTTGCACACAGAGAGGGTGAGGATATTGCAAATGTAGTTTTTGTGACAATGTTTTCAACATTTTCTTGTTTCAATAAAGTCAATAAAGTTGTGAGCATTTTGAGTCCAACTAGAAAGCACAAAGATATAAGAAAAGAGCTAATATTAAAACTAAACAACACCCCCCCACACACACACTTAACTCTTCTTTTGAATTGCATGGGGGGTGGTTTATGTAAAGATCAACTATTCCTATTTATTGTCCTAGTAATATATTCTTCCATTCTGCATCCCTCTAAAATGTACTCATAGTGTAGCTCTGTTTGAGAAGTGTTGGGGACGAATGTAGTGGTGTGTCCATTGAAGGCCACTATATTGTCCACCTTGAGGTTTATGCATGATTGGCATCTCTGAAAAAAGCCAATGGTATCTCCCTTTTATCGCCAACATACCTTTATGTTGGAGATGGTGGATCTCCTCATTGAAACAGTGAAAACATAGTTTTGATGAGCATGGAAGAGGGGAACAGTCCCCACTCTATTCTTGGAAACCCATCTGCTCCCACTCCACAGGTTAGGTCTTTGCAGGCATAAGACTATGTCTGAGTACAAGATGGTAACTCTATGCCCTGGTATTCTTCCCTCGGGACTTGATGATAGCTGAATAAAAATTAATGCTGTTCCGAGTAGGATAGTACTAAATCTTATCCTGTCAGTAGCTAAAAAAGTGGCATATTGTCCCCTGTTGTGGGAAGTACCCACTAGCAACATTGTTCCCTGAAAACTGCTGCAGAAAGAAACCTTTGTTGCAGCCGGGTTCCATATTGTTGGAAACAAAGTTTCCCAGAGGTCTCAGGCCTTTTCTCTGTTTGGAGATCACAGCTGGCCGTCTACCGTCAACCTACCAGGACCCAACTAATAGCAGGGTTGTAGTGTCAAGCAGAGTTGATACACATTGACTGGCTAAGATATAAATATATATGGAGGATTTCAGATTTTGATTTGCTTCTCTATTCAAGACAAAGTCCCTTTCCTGAAGAATTTCAATGACCAACCAGCAGTTCTAGAAACTAAAAAAAATACTAAGCCACAAAGGCGAAGGTTAGGCACACAATACCAGCTGTAGCCTTTTTGGTTTAAGGTAGACCCTTGAGCATTGTTTTTGGTATTATATTAATAATTTAAATTTCAGGAATACTATGCCAACAATTTGAGATTATTTTGCAAAATATTGAGGTTTTTCCTGATGTTTTAAAATTGATTTTTTTTCAAAATCTCTTGCTCTGATTTACATGATAATTAGGCATTTTACATTACAGGCTTCAGTTCAGTTCAGAGCCCCATCTTAACGTGCAATAAATAGACCAAGGTTGTTAAGAGAAATACATTGTTTTTTCCCCCAACCTTTTAAAGCCCTCAAATCCAACAACTCTCAGCCATACTCCTCATATTATTCATCTGCATAGAACTGTTGAGAGGGCTAATGTGACAACACAGGTTGACAAGCCAGTAATATAAATGTTGGACCTGGACTTAATTAGCACTCCCCAAATAATGGCTGACCCAGTAGTCTAGTTCCAAGTGGGGTGATCTTTGGCCCTGCACTGGCTAACATATTGACTACGCATATCTATCACCACCCTATCAATCGGGCATCCACTTGTACTATGACTAAATAAGGAAACTCGCACACTGATGTGTAATTGAAACACATCAATCAGTTTATTAATAACAGGTAGATATAAATAACTTGGACAACAGGTACATCAAATAACAACACTGACTAGAAACCAAGTACATACCCAGTAAAACTATTCCTATAACTCCTAAAATCTATACCTAACTAATCTAATACCCAACTTGCAATTCAATTTTTATAGGAGCACAATAAAACACTGTAACCTTGGAGGCAATATTGACTCAGGAATGGGGATGAACTTTATTATATGAGGGGAAAACTTGATTAAATACTGGATTTCTGCCACTCCAGGTCACAGAGAGTGTAGATAACACCAAGGGTGATTATCTGATGGTGTTTTACCTTCTGCTATAGGGAAGGGAGGAGTAAGGAATGAAGGGAAGAGCAAGAGCTGGTGATACTTACACTGGAGGGCAGAGGGCTGCTACTTAAGCTCTTTGCACATCCAGGGAGCCAACCCTAACCATTCTCACTGGGAGATCACAACCAGGAGACCAGCAGCATTGAGGACAGGTGGAATCTCAGGAGTAGGGGCTGGTGGGGATGACGGCCAGCTCTATGGCAGCCTCACTGCCAATGGTGTGCTCAGCTCATTGGACATCCACGGTCACGGCATAGCCCAAGGCACAACACCACACAATGGTCACCCACACCAACACTCCACCAAACCACTTCTACTTCGTTCATTCAGCACACTTCTATCACTTTCTCACACACACCAAATCAACAGACTTAGACAATGACAGTCTCTGTCTTGTTCACAGGACCCTCTCAATATGCAGACTGACATGGGCCGGGACAGATCAGCAGGCGTGCACACACATGGCTTTATATACTAAAAGTGCACATAGGCCCACTGGGTTGTGCACACGGCACAGTTTTGTGTACTAGGCACTCTCTCCCAGCATCTTCTGAGCTTAACTAAGCATGCTCCCAAGTAGGAAGGTCATCTAAAGTTCAACAAATGACCTACTTAGGCTATGTATCTGTGCATATGGGCTGCTCCCCAAAACAGCCAAACAGGTGAGACTAATTGACAGTGCCATGGACTCAGACCTAACCTTATTTCCAACATGAAGATGGCAGTCTGATTTATACTTTCTCTGCTTCAGCTGCTCATTTTTTCTCTGCCCACCCACGTGCATGTGAGATGAAATCCTGACTTTATTGAATTCAGTGTCAGAACACCAATTGAATTTGGTAAGACCCAAATTTCACCCACACCAACTGATGTGCTCCTACTGGCAAAAAGGAGAGGAAAAACTTATTCTTGTATTTTGTAACTGGTGTCCAAATATGGTTTTTTTGTTCAGTTACCCTTTTGTTTTTCTGTTACCATATTTTCTTGCATACAATACACCTTTTCTTCCTAAAAAAAATCAGGATGCATATTTTAAGCAAGAAAATGTGGTAATAACAGCTTCTGCTGCTCAAGCTTCTGCCCAGGGAAAAAAGAAAGTAATGCTGCATGTGTTGCAGAGGGGGTAGCCTAGTGAGCACGCAGGGATACCTAGCTGCTGGATGTGGAGACTTTCTTTTTCTCTGTTGTTGCATAAATTGCTGATTTTATCCCCTAGAGGCTAGT